AAATTAAAGAATTGAGGTTTATTTTGTTATAAACGAATGATTTGGAATATAATATTGAAGGAAGAAAGTTATTGAAATAAATGAGTTGTGTCATGTTTTGAAAATCTAAATATAAATATGGAAAATTCAAATTTGAAAACATTTCATTAAAAATAAAATCTAAACATTTAAATAAAACACAAATCTTATTAATTGTAAAAGGAATAAACAAGGGCAATCTTGATATTAATAAAAAAAATGTAATCTCGAAATCTAAATATGTAAAATATGTAAACATTGTGAAAAATGGTTTTCAAAACGACCCACATAAGACAATTTCTCTAATTCTTATATGTTATTCTAATGGTATGTTTGGGAGTGATTTTGGTATGGTCAAAATCACTCTTGTATTTTTTATGTCAAAATCAATTTCTTCACATTGATCATATTTGACAAATTAGAAAATTTACTTTAAGAAAACTTAAAATCACTTTAAATTGATGTAAGGCATAGTTGGATGATGATTTTAGAAAATCAATTCTATTTAATTTTTTTCTTAAATCACTCATTGTGTTATTACTGTCAAAGACACCTTAAATTTAGTTGATTTTAATTCTTAAACTTTCAAAATGTTTATTAGTCTATAAACTTTTAATTTTATTACATTTTTATCTGTGATCTTAGCAATCTATTTTAGTCCTAAATTTTAAATAAATAATCATTTTGATCATTACTATTAGTTTTCTCTCGATATCAATCCTGTAACCATTCAATTACCCTTTAAAAAAAGTGAAGTCTACAAAAAATTCGTATCAAAAACTATTTTTAGTATTGTGGTTTAAAAAACTATTTTAATTATTGTAGTTATTAAACCTTTTAATTATTGTAGTTAATAGTTAATTAATCATATGACGAAAACATCGACTCGTTTAGTAACTTTAATTTTAGCTCACTTCTTGTGACTTCAAAAATTTATTTATATAAATGATTTTTCTCATTATGTAAAATGAAGAAAAATTAATGGTGACGCATAAAAAAGGAAAAAACTATAAACTAGTATTTTTAGGTAAAGTTTAGTAAAACAAAATATTTAAAATTTGATAAAGACTAGAATGAATTAAGGTGTTGTTTAACGAGAATAAATCGAAATGAAAATTAATCGTAATGAGAGTGTTATTATTTGGATGTTGTTTAAAAAAAAGTTTTCTAGAATCATAATCAGAATTTCTTTGATACTTTCTCGAATCGGAATTGAAATTAGATATATGATAATAACTAGTATATCCCTTCTGCTTTTTTAGCTAATTACAAATACATTATTTTACTAATATTTTTTAATTACAATAATAATATATTTTAATTTAATTTATTACTATATTATTAATATTAAATATCTTTTATTAAATAATTTATTTAATATTAATAAATAATAAATAATTAAAATAAAATTACATCAAATAAAATATTTTTTAGTTGAAGAACCATAATTTAATATAACATATTATTAAATTTTATTATTCTAATATTTAAAAATAATAATTTATATTTTTATATTTTAAAAAATCTATTATATTAATTAATATAAATTTATAATATTATGTAATAAAATCACATCAAATAATAAAAATTGAAGTATAAATAGAAAATAAATTATAAAAGTATAAAAAATTAATTAAAAATTATACTGATGTAATTAATAAAGAAAGAGAAATGATAAAAATTATAAATTAATTATAATATATATGTGGGGTCATGAAATAAAGAATGAGAAAGAAATTTTACAAAGTTTAAGGTGGATCCCATAATTTTATTCTACTGGTTAGATTCACGTGGTTTAGAAATTTTTTGGAACATGATATTTTTGTGGTGAAACTTTACCTTCAATATATACATATAAAAAACTAAGAATTCTTAAAAAAAATTTGATAAAAGTAATTACATAATAATTAGACTATCATTACATAGTAAATAAATAAAAGTTAATGAAATATTTTTTTAACACAGTTATTTTAGATTAAATAATTATTTAATATAATTATTGAATTTTTTCACAATTGAAATGTATGATTTTTTTTTCTAACACAAAAATGTATACAGGTTAAAATTTGTAATTAATTAAGAGTGAAACATACATAGAGAACTCAAAACTATGTCGATATTCTACAATAAAGTTTTTTATTCATCCATTAAAAAGTAGTTTTTCACGGTTAAATCATGTGAATGATGGAGTAGTTATGAAGTAGTTATTAAACGATTAAATGAGGTCATTCTATTTTCTTTTATTCTATAGACTTCTTGCATTCTCTGTTTAAAAATGTTAAAATCTTTGGTTTTTGAACAAAAAAAAAGACAAACTTTTTTTTGATGAATTAGTTCTTATTTTTATAAAACCTATATTAAGTTATATTTTAAAATTGTAACGTATATTTCAATTATAATATTTTTATCAATAAAGTATGACACGAAACAAATGTTTTCTCTCCATAGATAGATTCTAAAAACTAAATTTTAAAATTCTGTCAATTTTTTAGTTTATGAAAAAAATTTGCCTCTTATTTTTATTTTTATTTTCTATGAATTTGATTCTTATTATTGTTTCCTATAATACTTCAAAAGTTTTAACAATATATTATTCATAATATATTCAATCTAAGAAAGTAAGACATTAAACAAATTTGAAAAAAAAAATTAATAATACCCTAAAATTGTATCATTACAAATTTTAGAAACAATAAATCATATGCATAGTATACAAAGTTTCTAGGATGACGAAATATTGGAAAAGAAAAAAAATCAAGAACATTGTTTTAAGAAAATATTTAAAGTTAATAATACTTATAAGAAGTTTTAAACGACAAAGTTGTATTGAAAGTTAATCTATTAAAATTTAGAAATATAATATGAATAGTAAAAAAATGTTGAATATAAATTAGTAAATAACTAGTGTGAAACATTTTGTTTGAATAATGAACGTAAAGGGTTTTAGAATAAAAAATAAGTTAAAGTATTCAAATAATTTAGGACTTACATTTTATATGATCTGATCAGGTCCTTGTTGAATCTACTTCGTGAAATTAGTTGGATCTTCGATTTTTGTTGATTTTCGTTGGAGAAGATGATAAGGTATAAGGTTTTTGGCGATGTTCACCATTTTTAATAAACGAAAAGATCTTTCATGAACGGATATGATCTAACAACTTATTTCATAACTTTTGAATATGAAAAGAAAAAAATTTATCTTGTAGACCAATGCGAACCAAAGGAAATTGAACGAAGCATCATTAACCATTTAAAATAGGACATTAGAAGCCCAAGTCTATATATATTTGATCAACAATTAAAAAAAATAAACCTTCAATCACAAATATATAACGCCAACGTCGTCTTCATTGTCGCTGATGGAGGTCTCCAATTTTCATAACTTTCATTTTCTTTCATCATTATCACTTGCACCACCTGTTTTTGCCCTACCACACAATTCTCAAGGAAGTTTTACAGTGTCTCGACGTGAGTTTTGGACAAAATAAAAAAATACATGAGTTTCTTTTCTTTTATAGGTGGTTTCCAATCACACCTATACGTAGATGGATGCATCGTCACTTTATGATTAATTTATCTCGACAGACATCTTCGAATAATCGTGTCCCGGTCAATTTTATATTAGATTTTTATGTTTTATCATTTCTATGAGATTGGATAAGGATAAGGTTGCCATTTATGGAGCATCTGTAAATTTTTTAAAGAAAAAACAAGTAATGATATTTTAATGTGATACTTATCTAGATGTCTGGATCTAGATATTTTATATTTAGGTTCAAAGATGAATGTAGTTTCCGCTTTAGTTCCCTCTTCCGGTCCCATCTATTTTCAAAATTTTATTTCGATTTCTGTATTTTTAATTTTTATTTTATGGTTAAAATTTTAATACAAATTTTATATCTAATTTTTTTCTTGTTAGGTTATATTTCAAGAAGAAAAATATTTGACTTGTGAGCATTAAATATCTATAACTAAGGGATAGAAATGCAAAAATAAAATATTTCATTTTAAGAAATTTGTTGATTCGAGCGTGTGTTGAAATTTGAAAAATTAAGACAAAAAGTAAAATAAATGGACTAAAATGATTATTTTTTAAATGTATAAGGATAAAAATATACATCGTAAGTATAGAGATTAAAATAATATTTAAATAACGATTTTTTTGTTGGATATATTTAAATTCAACTATGTTCAAGTTGATAATTTGACCAAAATATGTGATAAAACTCCAGGAATTGAATTATCAAATTGCAACGGAAATATTTCAAGACAAAAAAATGAAATTAAATGTGAGTCAGAATGCCAACATTAGGGGTGAGTAAAGAGATAAAAAAACTGGTTCAACTGATTGAAACCAACCAAACCAACGTTGGTCGCCGGTTCCTTAGTTTGTTAGTTTGATCATAGGTTTCGATTTTTCATAATCGACAATTCAGTCAGTCTACCGTCCTGCACCCCCAAATTTTGACCGACCAACTAATAATTATATACCTATTAAATTTATTTTTTTAGTTTTATTTCTATGTTTTTAGACATTAGGTTTGAAACCCTCACCCTCACTACAAGAGAATTTAAACTCGAATGTAACAATAATGAAAAATAATATATACTAGAGAAATTGAATAAAAATAATTTAAAGAATGTGAATAAATTAAAAAAAGGAATTTAAAAAAAAAATACATAGTCGGATCAAATCGACAATTTCTGTAGGTAGACCGTCAGTTTTCAAATTAGAGTCGATTTTCGATGTTGGAGTGAACCAAAAATTAATCCTGATCGATCCATGCTCAACCCTAATCAATATAAACATAGTTCAACGAACCCTCCAATTAGGGTCACGAGTTCGAATCTCCAATCCAATT